GGGGAGTTGTTCCAGGAATATACATCATTGTAGGAAAAAGGAGAGGGATTTAGGTTTTTTTTTTTCTTTAGTTGAGGAGACACATCATTAGCAGATTTCACAATCAGAAAAGGTTATTTTTACCCTGGTGACGGAGACTGATCATACAACACATCTTGTTTCGGAACCTTTTCACCGCTCGCCTTTCATAGGAAGAGCAGTGCAGAAGGTGAGCTTCAGATCCATATAGAATTCTGATCAAAGGTGCTTAAGGAGGACTCATGCCATCTGAGTAACATCTTCTTGACATGATACATGAGATGTTTTGTGTCTGCCAATTCACAGAATATTCATGTTGAACATAACTGCAAAATGTTCCCTAACAAGATATTTTATTTATTTTACCCAACCAACGCTCACCTTTACGATACACTACCTGTTTGTGCATTTTATGTCTATGTTTAGACTCTCAAAGCACTTAGGTTGGAGGAAGGTAGCAGCCTTACTTAAATATTGAAAAACTCAGCAGAGACTTGAACATGTGGCACATTTGTTTTATTGATGTCTGGCTTTTTCTTAGCAAAGTGTAATATTCTCTATTCTTAAAGATCGCAAGACAAAACAACTAAAAAAAAACCAGCACTAACATGGTGTTAGCCTGTCTCTCAATATTTGATGACTTCTCCACCGTACCCAACAAACAGGCCAAAACTCCAAAGACTAGCTAAGCACAGTTGATTTTAGCAACTCAGACAAACTGTAACGAGTGAATTTGTTGGAGGCCTGTTTAAAATACACATTAGATGAGACCAGTGGGACAGTGCATTGTATGGCTGCATATATACTCAAAGATGGATGTTTGTGAAGCCTCAAATGGGGCCAATGACTACTTGGTCTACCAGACATAACAACTAAGGGAGGGATCTGTCGGAGAGTCCGAGGACACTATGCATGCTGATATGGTAGCCACCTGTAAATCACAAGGTAGCCCTGACCTCTAATATACCTTGCTTTATTATCTGTTTTTACTCTAAATGGAACCATAATTTATAAAAATGACCATCACGCCGTGCTGAGGGAAACCTGAGACTGGCAATTGAGATCGTAAATGCATTAGGAATATATTTACTGAGGTAACAAATCAAGGGAGAAGTTGGGTCACCTTCTCATAGACATCTACACAATTGGACCGGAGGAGTCGCCCCCTGCTGGCTGTTAGAAATAAATGTCGGTTCATGTTGGCTCCACTTTTTATACCTGGAGGCTTCCAACATCTTTTATATCCAGTCTGTTTGTGGGATAGACAAGTAACCCGGTGCAACAGTGTGGCTCTCTGATGTGCTTTTATTAGTTTGTGAACAACAGTGGAGCTGAATGGCTCATAGGAACAAGCTCAATCAGGCTTAGGTACATGCAGTACTTATTTGTCAGGTCGTGTTTTTCTACTGACTTAGGTCATCTCACCAACCTTTGACCATTTTGTTATTTGTCACTAAGGATGGTTGAAAATAAGAAAAAAATATCACCAGACTTATCATTTAATTACTTTTGTTGCCTAAACCCAGCCAGGCGTCATTAACTTCACTGGAAGAATGCTGCCACTGGACGCAGCCTTGGTATTAGTAGGAATTAAAGCAAAATGTCATTTCTCGGAGACAAATTTGTTTTATCGCTGGGGATTAATTCCAAACTGCGGCTGAAGGGAGCCCAAAAGTTTTAACACTGAAAATTATACAAGATAAGAATGCTACCTAAAGAAGAAAGGTTATCCATAAAGTACAAATCAGATATTCATATTATTTATCATCTGAGATGCTTTAATCCATCATTTGGGGAAACAGTGTTTGTTCTAAGCTGAAATGTGGAAGCACGCACTGTATCTGCAATGTCATCAAAAGAGTCTCTGAAGCTGGTCAGACACGGACAGACTATAAATACTTGTGACGGTACCTGGGGTGATCCTCCTGTGATATTGATACATTTTTAGCAAACTCTAGACGAAGGAAAGTCATTTGAAGCTGCCAGCCCTTTTGAGACCAGCCGCTTTAATCCTCTGTGAAATATCTAAGCCTGACATGGGCTGCCATGAAATGAACTTAATTTTCGTGCGAACGCTTTAAACAAGAACATACATTCGACTGCTAAAAGCTCATCTTTCTGTCATCATGGATGTGATGACTGACCTATTTGGAACTTGTTTTGGAAATAACTCTGTTTTCAAGCCTTAAGAAAGGGATTTGTATTGTACTGTGATGCACCACTGATCTTTTTGCTTCCCTTGAAGCTTGCAGATGTCACTTATTATTATTGTCATGCATACTTTACCGCTTAGATTGACATTAATCAGGCAATGAAATGATCTATGTGATAAGTATGCATTATTTAGTGTTACATTTGTCTGGTAGGTCACTATTTAGCAATGCAAGCAAAGCCAAATCTGGCCATTGAAGTGATCTTTACTGGACATTTAAATCGTGTTTTATTTGCAATATATTAAGTCATACAATAATAACTTTGCAGCTGCAGCTAAAGATTCAACAAGAATATCAAAAAAATATATATATTTGCCTATGTAACCTTGATGATGAATTGCTGCTACAAAGCCGCACTAATAAATAACTTTTTTATTCCATTTGAGTAACACTGAAGTTTTACAAAATGGTGATTTAAACCTTACAAGTCACAGGGTTACTTTTTCCTCAACATTTGAGAGCATCGTTATCATAAAATAACCATTTAATCAGCATCAGTGTTTTTGCTTGCCTGTTTGTTTTCATAGGTTGTCCCTGTTACTTGCTCTATTGTCAGAAATAGTCAGATATGAAAGAAAAAGAAACTATATTCCAAAAGGGTGGAGATGGAGAGCTGGAGGAACAAAATGAGGTTTAATGAACTGAGACATAAAAACAGCAAGTTGCCAGTTTTTCCCCCACAATTTTATTAAATTTACAAATAACATGAAAAACTAGTTAGAAAGTGCTTTTTAATGGCTGTACAGACTCAATGTGATATTGAGACGCAGCACTTAATGCACCACTGCTGAAAACTTTTCAGCAAGCTACAGCCACTTGAGGCTCCTGTCCGCAGTGTGTTTTTCTGTCGACCACAGTGTCTTTTTAATACCTCTGTTAAATCAAAGATGATCAACAAACTATGTCTGCCATCGTAGTTTAGCGTGAGACATCAGTAGTTGTGTATCCAAGTGACATTAGTTGTCCCAGCCTCATAGACTGTTTGGTTACCTTAGCCCAGGGGTGTCCAATCCTGGTCCTCGAGGGCCACAGTCCTGCATGTTTTAGATCAGGGGTGTCCAATCCTGGTCCTCGAGGGCCACAGTCCTGCATGTTTTAGATGTTTCCCTCTTCCAACACACCTGATTCAAATTATCAGGATCGTTATCAGGCTTCTGCAGAGCTTGATGATGAGCCTGATCATTTGAATCAGGCGTGTTGGAAGAGGGAAACATCTAAAACATGCTGGATTGTGGCCCTCGAGGACCAGGATTGGACACCCCTGCCTTAGCCCTAACAATGATTTTAACATACCAAGATGTTAAACCATGTCTCCTGATCATCTGTTTTAGCTTTCAGTTAGCTGTGTTTAAAAAAAGAACATAAAAAGGAATGAACATGTTTATTTTTTTTTTTGATTAGACACATTTTTCAAATACATTTGTACCAAATAAAACCCATTTGGGCAATCTCATTCTTTTTCGAAATGCAACTATGCCAAACTTGCAGACCTGTTGCTTAACTGTGACGATGCGTGTATTTATACTGATGCAAAATGCAGTTTTTAGTTTTGATGCAAGAATTGTTGTCTACACATTTAGGCTGACCGCAATTTTGGCTTATCACATGACAAGAATCTTTCTGTCATGCTGCAACAAGTCTTAACTTCTCCTATTGAAACGGACACATATTTTGACGACTAAACTTGAAGGTTGCTTTTAAGAAGTAGACCAGTGACTTGGACCAGGGCTGAGAGCACGTTTTTCTACACTTTGTCAGCCTCTTCAATTTTTTTCAAAAGCACTCATAATATATTATTTGCTTATTTCTTATTCATCCAACTTATTAGCTACTTTTATACCAAATGGGTGTAATGTCAAATATAAAATCTGTTTGCTAGCTTGTGTTACGCTGCCTATGGAGCAACTGGCTAACTACAGCTAACAAAGACAAGCTCATTTAAAAAGCAGGAGCAGGTTATTTCTGAGCAAATAGCAGTGATTTTTTTATAAGGAGAGGTTTGCCACTCAGAATAGTGCAGAAATCTTTGGCAGAATTCAATATCACAAGAGATGGCACAGCAAGTCCCGCCCCTTCACTGAAAGAGCCAATCCTCTGTTGTGCAACAGGCAAACCAGGAAGTAGGCAACCAATCAAGTTGTTGCACTCATATAATAAAGGCTTTATTATCTATGGTTGCACTGACATGGTTAGCATGCTTCACAAAGAACAACCTGCTGTAGGGGAACCTAATTTTGGTCACCAAACTTTTTAAACTTTTTTTTATTATCATGACTATTATTATTATTTTTATCGCAATTACAGTTGTGGCTCTCTTTCCAATTATTTACATTCATCTTATTTGTCTAAAATAACTGCAAGGGATGCTACCAAGATGGCTGCCAAGCCTCAAGACTGGCCTATAAGGACTTTGCTAATGGCTACAGTAAAACTAATTAAGGTAATTCAGTTAATTTGATAGCCAGCTTCCTTAAAAAAAGAAAAAAGAGAAAAAAAAGCCAATTTGTTAATTTGACTTTGCTTGTGCTGAGCACTGGTGACCCTTGACAAAGTGCTGATGCCGCTGCTTCCTTAAGTTTCCTTTAGCAAGCGTGCTAGCTAACGGCTAACTGAACCCTCCTTCAATGTGAATTCAGAGACTGTGCGGAGGAGTTTATTCATCTTTTCACAGCTGGGAAGAAGTTTTTTTTTTTCTTTCTTCCTTTCTTTTTCTTTTCTTTCTTTCTTTTTTTTTATACTGCCATTGTCTTGAATGCCTCCCTGATTCTCCCCGGTCGTCTCTCCCCTCCTCTTCCATGTATTATTGTGGCCGCGGAGCTTCGCCGGCTGAGGCTGAGAGCTTGTTGACGTCAGCAAACTTATCCAGCAGCTGTGGAGGAGCCGAGGAGGAGGAGGAGGAGGAGGAGGAGAGGAGGGAAGGAGCCTGCTGGATGTGGAGCTCGGACTGTGGAGCGCTGAGGACCGTGGGCTTCTTTACTACGGGACTGTTCGGACTTCTTTCCGCTGTAAGTACAGACTGCCTCCTTTTTTTTCTCCCCCTCTTCTTTCTCTCTCCTGAGATTCTCTCACCGCTGCCCAGAGTTCGCTGTCGACTTTTCTCGGCAGCACTGTTTTGCGTATCGCTGCACACTTTCTCCAGACATGTTTGTCTGTTTGCCCGTCAGTACGAAGTTGACACAGCTCGCCGTGGGATATTTTTTCCGGCTTGGTTTTTTTTTTTTTTTCCACGTCGTGTGTCGCCGGTGAAATGTGCACCGTGTTTGTTTCCCATTTTGAAATCACCCCCGAGAACCTAACGGGAAACTTTTGTTGCGCAAGTCCGTGCAAGGTGGACTGTTGGAGCTAACATGTCGAGTTTGTGGTCGGGGCGAGATTCTGTTACGCTTTTGTAGTTTGAAGTAAATATTTTTTTTCACCTCCTGCGTGTCAGCTCCTCATTTTGACCCTGTTTTATTTATTTTTTTCTTTCCGGTTTTACATTTTCTTAAAGGAAAAAAAATTGCATTTGCGGTGACGTTATTTTGCATCAGTGTAGTTAATGATGGATGCTTTTTAAAAAAAAAAAATACGTCAAACATATAATCTCATCTTTGACCAAACACATGCGCTTTTTATTTTTATTTTTTGGCTCTTATTTGCTGCCTTCTGCATGGTGCTATGTGTGTGCAATGTGATGTAGACTAAGCGTGTCGCCTTATTATTTTCTCAGAGAGGAGTGGCACAGACTATAGAGACACTCTACCCTCATAATAACCCAGCGTCTATTAAATGCCATTTACCTTTCATCAAACCCTGCCTACATAACTGTTTTCAGCAGGGCTCAACAGCAGGGGATTCTGGATGATAATAACTTTGTAAACAGCCTGCCACTGTGTGCTGTGATATCAATAACTTAAGTAATGAATGCACTACTTTGAGGATAGAATACGCTCCCTAGGATTGTCATCTCCGTGCGAAGTACTTCTGTTTCCTGCTACACTTCTCATTTCATGGCTCAAAAGTCACCCGTTCACTGTCGTTGTGCAATGGAGGTTTTTGGGGGAGACTTGTTGGAGTCAGCAATAATGATTGTTTCCCAAACGAACATTTCCAATCTCCAGTCTGCTTCGTAGCTGGTTGGTGGTGTAACACCCGCTGAATGAGCTCTGGATGTTTTGCTTTTTTTTTCCAGCCACTGGTAGCAGTAATTGAATAGGCTTCTCTTCGAGTGGCCATTGTATGCTGTGGAAATTAGCATGAATTAGCCTTGAGGCTTCTACAAATTGCTGCTAAGGACAGCAGTTTTTCAGGTTCATTGTAGTCTGCCAGAACAAGGTGGTCATGGAGATGTGATTTCAAGCAGAGTTAAATAAAGGTCATGTAAATCAAATGACAAAGTCGTACTCGGCTCCGGCAGTCTTGGCACCCATTGTTGTTGTCACCCTGAGTTTTACTGGGCTGGAGCTCACCACACTGTATTAAAGTGTGTAGTTGATCTATATCAGTGTGATGATATCTTTTGTGCACATGTCCGCTGTTACGAGTGACAGTAATACCGCCACACTTGAAATACAAGGTGCTTTCACATTCAATGCAGGGCCAAAACAGCTACCATGTGCTAACACTGGGCAATGCTGTTAAAGCTGAGAAGCAGGGATTGCATAAATGTAAGCTGCAATAAGAATCCTCTACAAAATGCCCACAATTAAGGTCTAGTTGAGAGTACAATGAACAGAAATACAAATTTATTAAGATACATGACTTTGAAGTAACATAACACATGACATGCACTTGAAAAATGACATATTTTTGGCTCATCTCTGGTGCCATGTGTAACCACATTGCTACTTCCTCTAAAATTACAATGACTGGTAAACCACTGAATCCTCTTTTTTGCCCCTCCAGTTTTCATTGTCTTTGTTTACAGGCTTTATGTATGTGTCCTAGTTTGGCTTGTCATACATTGTTACTTTCAGATGTAGGTTACTCAGAAAGACGATTAGTTTGGCGTGCCAGAGGTCTTCAGTGGTCCAAAAATTTGTGCCTGAACCCAAAAAAAAAATCCAGAAATGTGCAACTCAGAACCAACCAAGAGAGGCCGCCAAGGCACTTGAGCAAGACACTTAACCCTATCTGCTCCAGGGACGCCCTAATGTGGCTGAACCTACGCTCTGACTCCAACTCTTAACAAACTGGGATAAAAGACTACCTTTCATTGTCTTTGTGCAATAACAATAAAACTTACCTTATTTTTGCATAGGAGTTAACTCTCATTTGGAGCCAGCCACAAGTGGCCTTTCTATGAACTGCAGTTTTTGGTTGTACTTCTTTGTTGGCTTCATTTTTCATCCCTATGAGTTCCTGCTTGGTCTGAACACAGCCTGGTCTTCTCCAACCCACTCGGGGATTTCACATAATGTTAAAAATACCTGAAACCTGTGGGGATAGAACACAACAGCATGAAATGTAGATCTAAATCCATACAGGGTTTGGGTGGCCCCTTGAAGACCTCTAATTGGTTCTAGGTAGAGTGTCAGTAATTAAAGGATACAGGAATCATTTAATTATAAGTTGTACATCTTATTGTTCTCAGAATTGATGGTATGTTGTTAAATGAAAAGCAAACTCTGCTCTGCCTCTTACTGCTCCCTGTTTATCTTTTCTGATGGACTGAATGCATGCATTTGATGATGCACGTGTCGATAGGGATCTTTTTTGAGCCAATATTAATTTGTGCTTTGGCATCAGGGATACTCACTAATGCCCGTCCATAAAGTAGTTTTGAATGTATGAAGAACTTGATTACTTTTGATGCTGAATAAAATGTCTAAATTTGGTTATGATGATTGTAGATCTGTACCTGTATGTAGCATGTTGTATATTGTTTCCAATACATTCATTACAGAGTTTATCCTCAATGGTCATGAGAGCTTTAACTTGTAAGAGTAATTTGTGATTTCAGTAGTATGCTATGACATACGCGTGTTCGGATTTGACCAAAATATGACCCCCCGAAGAGGAAGTGCAGGTTTGAAGCTAATACGTAAAATGTTGAGTGGGTTAAATATAGTGTATCAGTGACTTCAACACTGGTAACCATGTAGTGAAAGACAGGCTTTAAGATACTTGGGGAAGAGTTTCCTATAGGAAATTGCTTAGTGCAAGTGGAAAGCACAATTGGTCAGCCACTTAGCTGAATTAGACATAACCAAACATGTGTTAATATTAGTATATGTACTGGATAACAGTTTAAACAGTTCCCTTAAATGCTTTGGCTTAGCTTTTGTGTGATGTAGCATCTCAGCTTGTTTCTGTTCCTGATGCTTAATAGAGCAGAAATGAGAGTTCGATTCATTATTTAGTCCACAGAAAATTAAACTGCGTACTTTGATAATTAAGTCATTATTCAGTCATTTCAGTAAAAAACATTAAAAAAAAACTCCTCAAACATTGTGGAGTTCCTGTGCAGAATTAGCTGCTTCTCTTTGTGATTTATCATCTTAAACCCAGTATGTTGTGGGTTTTGAACTCTTTGTTTTTTGTCAATAATAACCTAAATGAAAATTAAACAGTAGCAGTAATATCATAAGTTATATGAAAGAGAAAGGCTGTGTACCTTCATAGTAACATTTGACAGAAACAGTGAGTAGTTCAGTCCCATTTGTATGACTTGTGCGTCTACAGTATTGTCAATTGTGGCTTGTTCTGTTTGTTGTTTAGAGGGTGATTGTTTTGCAAGGTAAACAAGGCGTCAGGTGTTTCTGCTAACGCAGAAGCTTACATTATTCACATGTTTTGCCTCAGATATCCTAACAACACTGCCATTATGCCTTCTAGTGACACAAACCTCTATATCCAGGTTGCCCTGTCGTCTGATTGCATATATTTAAAACACTCTGATCTTGTTGAATATATATGAGTTCACATTTGAGTATGGTAATCATATACTGATTGGTCACATCTGAGAAATGGCTACATCTCGGCACATTAGGTAGTTATAAACAATCTCCGCATCGCTCCTATAATGTTGTCGGCACTCATGCTTACCACTCTGTCTGCCTCGAGAACGTTCAGTCGACACTTCATCTATCAGTTCACGATCACACGGTGACTGATAACATCATTACTATCAGCCCATGCTCTCAATACCTCACTGTCACCAGAAACTCTATTACAACAAGTTCATCTTTCCACCTAGAGCTGTTTGCTGTCAGATTGCTGGAAAGCTGAAGTGACTTCAGCCTCATGCAGTCGGAAACATCAAACAGCTTTTCATCTACTATGACTTTTGCCGCTATTTCCTCTGGAATCAAAATTGAGGAGGAAGATTATATTGCTTCTTATTAGGGGCTCAGTTTTCTTATCCTCATCTTACCCACGTCAAACAGATATTCGTCTTACAGGCTAAAACGACACCAGTGACATGCCTAAGTCAAGATAATTGATATTTTTGTCTTGCTTGGCTAAGGTGTTGACTCTCTCAAATGTCAGAGTCTTTGGTCTCACCGTCTCTGTGATTGAATTAATCCTCTGAGCTGTTATTATACATCTCAATTAATCATGGGCTTTTGCAAATGAGACAGCTGAGGGAGCCTTAAGTCGGTGCATGCTACTGCCTGTTTTCTATACTTCGGTCTTTCTTCTTTTGTCTCATTTTCTTGGATGAGGCTGGCATTGTTTCATTAAGTAGCGGCTCCTTTCCTGTGCTAATGGATCTTCTTTGTTGTTCGTATGATATGTCATTCTGGGAGTATATTAAGACCTACAAAGAGGGGAAAAAAATAATACTATAGCTGAAGTCCCAGGCCCTTAAAAATTATATTTTACAATCAGTGCTTTGATGTTTGGAAATAACACTTTTGTGGAAGTGCTCCTTTCTCAAGCATAAATCATCTTTGAAAGGACCAACATTGCTTATCTGAAATGCACAGTGGTGTCAGACCTGCAGCATGCTCTGACTGTAGGACTACCTATGAATACCTCTGTGGCTGTGCGCAAACTGCACATAACCAATAATGTGTACACA